TTTTTTTTTTTTTTTTTTTTTTGTAAAAAATTGGTTGGTTGATTTAAACCGCGAAACCTGTTGGGGTTACAATCCTATGTGTTGTGTTGAACCCCTGTTTTCGATATGCTGGAGTTGATATCGGATTTCTTTTCTCTCGTGGTCATTTTCTACAGATTCTGTAAAAATAGATCTGTGTTAAGATTGAGAAGCATAGAATTTTATGTATGAATGTTTGCTTTTTATGCATTGGAAAGCACAATGATATATTTGTTGCCATTTAACTTCTTAGCACTGGTACTGAGGCTCCTTGATGATAACTGTCTTTTTGGTGCCTATTTTCGATGTGCTACAATACAAGGGATCCGCTTTGCAGCTTAAGCTTTTAAATGTATTTGCTGCCTGTAATGCCCTTACATTCACAAATGGCATTAAATATATCATCCAATGATTAAGATTTCTGCATGTTGTTTTGATATCTGGTAGCTCGACGGCTTATAAATAGTGTTTTTAGGATTGCAGCTCAAGGGGTCTTCTGTCAAGTGTTGCTTAAAATTGCTTATGCTTCTTGTCGGTCATAGTCTGCTTTCGCAAAGGGGAATTTGTACCCAATTTCTTTTATTCTGTATACACCAAATATCATATGGAGATTGATTACCACAAATTTGTCATCTTCCGGTTATACATAAATTCAGTCCTTGAAAAAATCGGTGGCTTTTTAACATGTTCTGCCTATTTTGGTAATATTTGTTTCGACAGAAGTCAGTCAATAACTTTGCATGAGTGCCCGTGGCTCTATGTTATTGAATATCCTGAGCCTAGTATTTCCGTGCACGCATCAAATATGGCATCCACTTTGCAGCTGAATCAATAACATATTTCTGGTGCCTGGAATGACATACTTTCTAAATGATATTAATGCCATCTTGGGGACAAGATGTCGCCTACCTTTAATAAGTTCCCCTTGTTTAGGGGGCAGAATAGTTGATGGGAGGTGATTTGAGCACCTTGTTTTTCAGTTTCAAAACTTCAGAAGCTTACACTGAGAGATCCTCTGACCACTGACCAGTTGCGTTGTCATGAATGTAAATCTTTTGTTTTGAAACATAAAAAAAAAAAAAAAATCAAAAATACCTTTATTGTTTGTATATAATTAATACCTTATTGTATAGAACCTCTTTTAACCTTTACTAGTTGTATTAATACTCTTAATCTTATTTAAAAAAAAAAAAGCTAAAGATGTCTCTATGATTAGTATATGGATGGAAATTGCTTATCTATATTTCAACCCTTCTCTTCCATTGTTTCCTCTATTTCCATCTATGGCTTAACATTTCTTTATTTTTTCCCATTTTTTAGCCATGGTCTACAAATTAATATATTGCTTGGATTTAGCACTCTGAAAGAGACATGTTGAAAAGGATGAGCTGCCATTAAGTTGCTGTCTGGTAAGGTCAGATGTTACAAGTTTCCAGTATTAAGGCATGGTTTGAGGAAGAGATGAACATGTGGCTGTAATTCCTTCTTGCATAAACTTTACATGCGATGACATATATCCTTGTATGAAAGGCAAGTGCTTTCCCTTCTTACACGGGAACCTTTGGAGCTTATTGTCTGATTTTGTGGCCCTCTATGTAAATAAGCTCTATGCAGACTGACTTCAAACCATTATTTTGGTTCAGGAAAGATCACTAAGGCTCTAGAATAAGAACAAATCACATTATTGTTCCTCTGAAGCTCTAATTTTTTAGCATTTGTTATTCCATTTACATCAAATGAAACCCAATTAAGGGGATTGGTTTTTTGTTTGGAAGATAAACAAACGTGGTCCCTCAACATCAGAAGATGTTACAAGTTCTGAATATTTATTTCCACAGGCTAACATGCTTGTATTTGCTGAATTTAATATGTGCAGCTGGTTGCAGAGGAGCCATGTGAGGTCTCATTATAAGGTGGAAATAAATGTAATTTTGTACCTTTTAATAATAATGATGATGATGATGTAATAAATTTAAAACAAAAACAAAAGGTTATTTGCGATGATTTATAACAAGCTTTAGCCCAATTGTACAGAAGCAAATTTAAGTATGGCGGTTGAAGAACCGACATAGTTGGAGAAACTCTGCTAATCAATTTATTACAGGTTTACGAGTTTGACACTTATGGAAGCAACTAGAATCTGCAAAGAGTTCGGTCCCTTCAATTCCACCATTTTTCCCTATTGAAACTCGCTGCTAAATTGGATGTTGAGCCTCACACATAAATTGGAACCCTTATTTTAGAACATTGAGGAATCAGAGGGAGAAGAATTGACCAAATTAAGAATGCTATTCCAGTAATTCTTGTTATCTTCATAATAATCTGTTCCACTCCCACTTCCATTTTCAGACTCATCTCCACCTCCATCAGATTGACTTCTTTCATCCGTATTGTTTAGAAGAAGATTAGTGAAGCCTTCTTCAGCAATGCCATTATCACTTGTTCTCAATGATTCAGCTGTCCATGTTGCTTCAATCGATAATGTCATTTCATGAGATGTAAACGACATTGAATTCTCAAAACCCTCTTTGTATTCTGGTAATTGGCTTGGATTTCCAATTCCCTCTTCCTTCCACTCTCTTTCCCTCATTATTCCACCCTGATCACAGGAGCTTGAACTTCCCACAAACTCAATCATGGCTACTGAATTCTCCCCGCCCCCACCTCTCGCCATGATCGGCGGTACGTTCTCCGAGAAAGTCAACGTCGAGGTAGGAGATTCAAGGTCGCCACCAGTTCCACGGCCCAGGATGCCACCGTTTCCTTCGGTGGATCTAGACCACCCTGCGACCATATTTAGAAAAGGTTAAATGTATCATAATCCATAATCCATCAACTTAAGCTTTTGGATTGATTGATAGTTTAAAACACGCACCATTGTTCCAAGCCTTTAATGCATCAAGCGATCGGGAAGCCATTGCGGGCGGCTCCGATTTGCTCAAAAGCGGAGCTGAGGTGGAAGTAGAAGATGAAGAAGCTGCAAAACAAGGAGGATTTGCAAGTTGTTGTAGTGAAGAATGTGCATTACTACGTAGCCTTGATTCTCTCACAAGCCTTGCCTCAGCTTCAAGCCGAGCACTTTCCCACTGAGCTATGTGGCTCAAATTAGCTACACTTTTTGACTGGCCATCACCGGTGAGCAAAGCGTCATTCTTGGGCTTGTGGGTTACTGGGTCAATTCCCATTTTAGCCAATCTTTTCTTAAGATGTGTATTCCAATAATTTTTTATCTCATTATCAGTTCTCTTGGGCAAGTGAGTGGCAATGGCCGACCACCTAAGAACCAGACAAACAAGGAACAACAACGAGGGTTTCAAGAAACAAACAAACTAGATAATAATAACATCATAGAACTTGCCAACACTTTGACAAGAGCTTTTTTGTTTTGTCTGCCTGACTACTGAAATGAGGGTTTTGAAGACAAATCTTCAGACCCCATTTCGTGTTCGTGCAGAAATTTGCTGGTCGTGTTGTGTTGAGAAAATTTCACGTGTCAGAAGACTCCTAATGTTAATCACACCATGAAAATCTGTGCACCTCATCCAAAAAAATTCAAGCTTTCCGGTTGAACAGAACTGGAAAATCTAAAAGGTTTTGTCTTTTCCAGTTCAAAAAGAGAACTACAAAGCCCCAAGGAGAGAAACTCGAAAGAAACAGTACCTGTTCCCTAAAAGAGCATGGAGTTGAATAACGGTCTGTTCTTCTTGCAAACTGAACTTGCCTCTCTTAATGTCAGGTCGAAGATAATTAATCCATCGTAGTCTACAGCTCTTGCCACATCTCTGGAGCCCTACAATCACATCCACCAACACAAAATTCCAAACCCTTCAAAATCATTAGCACATTACACAAGAAAAGTTAAGAAACCGTGAGGAAAAACCAAACAAAAACAACAAAATTTAGACCAGCTTTAGAAGGCAAGGCACGCCAGCTTCCATGGCCATGTTCTTTAATATAATCCAAAAGCTTTTGGTCTTCTTCAGGTGTCCATGGCCCTTTCTTCAACCCCACTTTGTCACAGCAAGGCGACCTTCCCATTTGCAGCAGTCTGTGTGAAGGCAGTGGGCAAAGGGATTATTTTGAGTGGAGAAAAATGGAGATGAGAGCTTTCAGATTGAAGGGGTTTGAAGAAGAGAGATAAAAGAGTGAGAAAAGAGGAGTGTGGTTTGTAAATGAAGAGATAGCGAGTGGCATAAATGGGGAGAGAATTAAATGCACACAAAGATAAGAAAGAAAATTTAATTCTTTATTTTTGTGGTTATTAAGAGCCATCCATGCATTCTCTATTTCCTAATCAATCTCTCAACATTTATTCATTAACATAAAAAGCTGCCTAAATCTATAATTTTGTTCCTATTTTGTACATCACATTTTTAAGGTTTATATCTTCATGTAATTCCTTTACCCCATCATAACTTCTTTTAATAATATCTCGATTTTGTATACTTAACCTAACTTTTAATCAAATACTGCCTTTATATTGAATGACATAGTAGGTTCAAGGCAAATAAGTTCGTTCCATATTATGTCAACAATAATTTATTAATTTTTTTTAAGAGAAATTGTTAATAGATTTATTAAAAAAAAATCCTTACGAACACAAAGACTTCAAATTTAATAATTTTCAATAATAATTGAATCCTATTCAATAATATGCTCTTTTAATAATTATTGAGTAAGACTCAATTAATGTGGACTTCATTTTCCCACCCTACTAGCTAGCAAGCTCATTAAACAATAAAATTGTTTGGGATTTCATAAGAGAGGGATTTCTATAAATATAGTTTCTTTGAAAAAAAAAAAAATCAGATAAATCCTTCATTTTTATAACATTTTATATAATTAAAAATTATTATCATATTAACAGTCGGTATTCAACAATTTTTATACTATATTTGTACGTAAAAGTTACATAAAACTATAATTCAAGCAGCTTCTTTTAACACATGAAACTCAACCTCTACAACACTTGTGATGCAGCTAACGACGCCTTTTGGAAAGTAGATCATTCAAAATTCTACAAGGCTAATCTGTTTATTGACAACAATTATTACGCAATAATTTCAATGAACTGACCTATTTCCAAATGTGCTCAACTTCGAAGAACACCCTTCGCTTCAACTCGGCTTTGACATGGGAGATATACCTGTTTGCTGGAAACATGTAAGTAGCAAAGATTTGAAGCTAACTTGATGAGATGCTATTAATGATTGTTTGAAATAACAGATACCGACCATTGTGACTAGATAATATATCGACTGCAGATACCCATTGACATGAGACATCCTTTCCAAGCTTCCATTAACAATTGGACATTCATGGAAGAATTCTTAGCCTTCAAAACACTGCATTGTCCATTATAATCTCCATATTACATACAAATCATTAATGATTGACATGTGAATTTAATAATATACTTAAAACGCAGCAGACAAAGAATTGACTGTATAAAGCACTGGAAGCGTTTCAAGAAAGAAAATGAAATTTCAAGAGTCCTAATAAAATAATTCTTCAACAAGAATTTTGCATCACATTAATCACTTCAAAGATAATAACCCTTATTGTGTCCTAACGTTGCTGCAACTAATTAACTCAAGACAAGGCAATAGGTTAAGGCGACAAGAAAGTCAGAGTTTTACTCTGTTTCCCTTGCAAGTATTAAATGAATATGAGTAAAAGAAAAGGAGGGTACAATGGTCATTTTATGTCCAACTTTATAATCCTTTCACTGCCATAGCTTGTTTGTGTCCTACTTGTTCTCAAATTGTAACTGCAAAAATAAATGAGCGAGTAATGGAAGAAGCATGCACCTCAAAACTTGACCTTGCTAATGAGTCCAAGCCCCACGTTTGGCAGCTAAATAAGTACACATTCAATACAACTTACGGATCCTTATTCATCTAATAGTGGCCTCAACTATGCTCTACTTTCAGAACTTAGCTTGAATCATCCATTCTATATTCTCCACATTAAGAAAATGGTAAAAAGGGGCTCTAGTTCTTTAGGGGATTCGGGAAATACATCCCCCAAGTATCCCTATGGTTCCACCTAACGTCATCAGCAATCCAGATCCGGCAAGCACTTCATTGAAAAAAATGAGACCTGGGATGCTTCTTTCTATAAGTTTCTTACAATAGAGTGGTAAAGGTTACTTTCATAGCCTTCTGAATCAGGAAGTAATTTATGGATTATGGACTCCGAGCTTGTGAAGGTGGATCAAGAACGATTAGGGGCAACAGAAGAGGGTGGGGGTCCATTAGAGAAAGTGAAAAAAAAAAGTCCTTTTTGATTAGCTTAAATGCTTTGTTTATGAGGTGTGAGAAGCAGAGCTTCACAGATCCGGCATTCATATTGTGGACAAGACCGTGGGGACACCTAATTTACTACCATTTCATCACTGCCAACTTTAGCTTTGAATATGGTCCAACATAGAGTAAATACCCTAATAAATGTATACCATAACATTTATAAAAAAAGTATACAAGTCCACACATGCAATTTTTCTTAGAAATAAAAGAGACAGATCAAAGGCACAATAAAGAAACAAGAAAATAAAGGTGTAAGATCCTCAACCTCTGGTTTCCCTGACCTTGCATACTGAGTTGTATAACAGCTTAGAATTTTAGAATTTGAAGTCGCTACCTCGAGTTCAGCTACTTCCCTCCTCTTCTCCATCCACACAACTACCAAACAAATCAACGCCAGCATTAGATGTGTAAATCAACATTTAAGGCTGCTGATGTAAATAGCTGAACTTAGTAAGAAGTTAACCAGCGCAGGTAATAAGAATTCATAGATATGAGATAGGTTAGTCATTAAATGTTACTTAAATT